TAATGTATTGACAACATGAATTAAGTAGGAGTATTTATTTCTTTAGTTTTTCAGTAGTTGGGATTTAAATACTGTGGCTTTGTCCGTTTAAAAAGTTAGGATCTGACACTTTGTATGATCTTGTGTCACACTTCTGTCAATATTGATACTTGTACGTGCCACAGTTTTCATATCTTGGAACAGTCTGTGTCCTGTTTGTTATTTCTAGGGTCAATTGCTCCTTTTATTTAAAAATTGGAGCTTGTCGTCATGGAGATCGCTGTTCTAGATTGCACAATAAACCAACTTTCAGTCAGGTATGTTTACATCTCAAACTTTACACCCGAATGTTTTAATTTCCACCTCATTAAAATTGGCTTATTGATAGTGAAACAGATTTCATATGTTTGCAATGTAGAATTTTTGTAGGAAAGAAGTATATAATTGAATACATTTACATTTCAATATGTAAATGAATTGACAATTGCTCATATTGTCATATCTTGACACTTTTATTGCAAAGTAATTTTTTACATTATAAATTAAAATAGGCTTGTATTTGCATATTCACTTTTCCATGTGTGTGTTATTCTTTGAAGTTTGATATAATGCTGCCCTTTAATGTAAGTTTTGTCACATATAACTAATTTTACTTTGCCTTTCAGTCACTTAACACATTCATGTCATTTAATGTACAGAGTAATTTGTAGTTCATCCACAGTTTCAGAAGTATTTAGGACTATTTAGTCTTAAAGGATTAGTTCACTCCAGAATTACAATTTCCTGATAATTTACTCACCCCCATGTCATCCAAGATGTTCATGTCTTTCTTTCTTCAGTCAAAAATAAATTTAAGTTTTTGAGGAAAACCTTCCAGGATTTTTCTCCATATAGTGGACTAAAGCGGGGACCAACGTGTTGAAGGTCCAAAATGCAGTTTCAATGCAGCTTCAAAGGTCTCTACACGATCTTAAAAAAAATTAAATTTCTATACTTTTTAACCACAAATGCTTGTCTTGCACTAGCTCTGCGATGTGCGTCCACGACTTCATGCATTACATAATCACGTTGGAAAGGTCATGCGTGACGTAGGTGTAAGTACCGACCCAGTGTTTACAAAGTGACAAAGACATAAATATGTGTCATTCAACATACAATAACTTTTGAACGGTCCTCCTTCTCCACACTTGTAAACACTGGGTCGGTATTTCCTCCTACGTCACGCATGACCTTTCCAGTGTGATTAAGTAATGCGTGAATTAGCAGATGCGCATCACAGAGCTAGTGCAAGACGAGCATTTGTGGTTAAAAAGTATATACATTTTTGTTTTTTTTCTTTTTAGAAAATGATCGATTGTTTCATTTGATAAGACCCTTATTTCTCAGCTGGGATCGTGTAGAGCCCTTTGAAGCCCATTTGGACCTTCAACCCATTGGCCCCCATTGAAGTCCACTATATGGAGAAAAATCCTGGAATGTTTTCCTCAAAAACAAAAATTTTTCTTTTCGACTGAAGAAAGAAAGACAGGAACATCTTGTAGAGCCCTTTGAAGCTGCACTGAAACTGCAATTTGGCTGAAGCCCACTATATGAAGAAAAATCCTGGAAGGTTTTACCTAAAAAAAACTTAATTTCTTTGCTACTGAAGACAGAAAGACATGAACATCTTGGATGACATGGGGGTGAGTAAATTATCAAGAAATTGTAATTCTGGAGTGAACTAATCCTTTAAAGAACCTGAGATCTGGGGACTATACCATGAAGCCAGTTTAGCTGGCTAGCCAGGTAAGTTTCAGTTTAGTTTGTGCCATCCCTGGGTTTTCAGGCACCTTGAAAGGTGCTTGGCCTTTAATGGTGTTCATCGCCATAGTAACTTATGTTCCATGGCGAACCTGCTACGGGGTAGGTTATGCTCTGGATAAGAGATCTCAATCCGAAACTGAACCAATCAGCTGCGAACAAAGTGACACATCTCTGACACAATGTCAATCTCCCAGTTTCTCTTGCTCCTAATTAATGGTCATTACATAGCAAAAGATTTTTAAAGACAAAATCTTCTGGCTTTTAGTGATGATTGATTGTAATATTGTAATTATTTTATATGATTGATATATTATTCATATCATTATTATACCCTTAATCCATTACACATTTTTAATTTAATAATTAAGCATTTAGTTTAAATTAATATAAATACAGTGGGTATAGAAAAGAATCACCCCCCTTTAAAATAATCACATTTTGTTGCTTTGCAACCTGAAATGAAGACGGACCCAGTTTATGTTTTATCCAGCTGTATTTACTCAGTGCAACTTATAACATCCAAGTGCAAAGGCTTTATCAATGCCTAGAAGCCCAGTGAAGTCTATTATTAAGAAGTGGAAGGTATTTGTTACAACAGAGACCCTACCTGGATCAGGACGTCGCTCCAAACTGGATGAAAGAGCAGGAGGAACCGGTCAGATGAGATTAAAATTGAATTATTTGGCCTCAACACCAAACGATATGTTTGGCTGAAATCCAATACAGCTCACCATCCAAATAACAGCATTCCTACTGTAAAGCGTGGAGGTAATATCCAGTTATGGGGTGTTTCTCTGCAGCAGGGACTGGAGCACTTGTCAGGATAGAAGGAAAAATAGATGGGGCAAAATACCATCAAATTCTTGAGGAAAATCTGCTGCCCTCTGCCAGAAAGTTGTCAATGTGAAGAAGTTTACCTTCCAAGTTCCAACATGTCAATGACCCAAAGCACACAGCAAAACTGAGCACACAGAGGCTGAAGGAGAAAAAGGTGAATGTCCTTGCATGGCCTAGTCAGAGCCCAGACTTAAACCCCACTGAAAATCTGTGGAATGACTTGAAGACTGCAACAGAATCACTGAGCTGAAAACAAGGATCGCCCCCCTCCTAAAAATGCCTTGTAAACTCAATAAGTTGTAGCTAATCACCTTCTCAATGACAAACAAAGCCATTTTATTTTCAACTGTGATCAGCTGTGGTCTTTTTGATTAGCTCAGCATGAAAAGAGTTTTCCTGGAGCATTTCAGTCCTTGGTAGTGCAACTAAAGCAAACAATCAACTATGGGTGGCAAGACTCTGTCAAAAGATCTCCGGGATAAAGTTGTGGACAGGCACAAGTCAGGAGATGGATACAAAAAATTCAAAGGCTTTATCAATGCCTAGAAGCCCAGTGAAGTCTATTATTAAGAAGTGGAAGATATTTGGTACAACACAGACCCTCCCTGGATCAGGACGTCGCTCCAAACTGGATGTACTGACACAAGGGGTGATCCTTTTTCCAACTCGGTGATTCTGTTTTTTTGTTTTTGTTGATGTTATATCTTTCACTTGGATGTTATAAGTTGCACTGAGTAAATACAGCTGGATAAAACATAAACTGTGTCCGTCTTCATTTCAGGCTGCAAAGCAACAAAATGTGATTATTTTAAAGGGGGGTGATTCTTTTCTATACCCACTGTATATACTGATAATATGTAATATAAATAATCTTTAGAATCAATTGATAAACTGCATGTAACCTTACATGTTCAAGTCTCTTGTTTACCTATTTATATTATCATATATATGAACTAATAACGTCTCAATTTTCACTTGCACTGCTATAGCAAGATGTTTTCTTTTAATTTTCCTCTTTCATGGACAGCTCTTTTCTTCTTGTTATGTAAATGGGTTTAAATTGTTTACATTTTTCAATCTCTTAATCTTTGGCAGAAAAGATAAGTAAATGACTCTTGCGCGAGAAGTGAACCGCATGTTTCAAGGCATGTGATTGGCTGTTTGTTACTGATGTACACTTTCATGTGCACATGCTCCTTGAACTCAGGATCAAAGCCTGAGTTGACAGAGATGGTTGATGATCAGCATCATGGTACCAACAAAACCTGAGTGTATTGTTTAGTTTTGTCAACTCAAAACTAATTTTATTAACCCAGAGTTTGTTCAGCTAACATCATGGTACAAGCCCCAGATCTATGAGTGTTGGGAAATCCATTCGTTTCTGAAATGTACTTAAAGGGGTCCTATTATGCTTTTTCACTTTTTGAATTTTAGTCAGTGTGTTTGGTTGAGTGCATCAGACAAGACGATGAGGAAGAAGTGCTGCTGTAGCCTCAAGTTTTCGCAAGTTATTACACATGCACCTGAATAATTATGTATGTAAATATGTATGTTACAATTATGAAAACGTTTTTATAATAAATTTCTGACAGTACAATACTGGACAATGATGTAATCTGCAGAATTTACATGTCAATTATGAGACTACAGTGTTTCCCATACATTGAGTGTGGGTGCTTTTATATCACTGTATTTCTGAAGGAAACCGATATAATGTAATCGTAATGTAATAATGTAAATTATGTAAAAAATTATGTGTTTTTCGAACCACCAAGCATGAGAGCATGTTCTAGTACACCCCCATAACAAATTCAAGACATTGTAAAATAGCATAATAGGACCCCTTTAAGAAAGTTAATCTTGTCTTAATAAGATGACTGTGTCATCTAAATCATGGGTGCCAAACACAATTCTTGGAGTGCCGGAGCCCTGCAGAGTTTTGTTCCAACCCTGCTCCAACACACATACCATGTAGTTTTCAAATAAGATGAAGGACTTGATTAGTTGGATCAGGTGTGTTTAATTAGGGTTGAATTAAGCTCAGCTGGGTTCCGGCCCTCCAGGAGTTTGACACCCCTGATCTAAATGGTGAGCTTTTTACCAGGCTTTTTGCCGCAACAATTTCTCTCTAATACACATATTGTCATAAGTAGGATTTTTTTTTTTGGTGAATAGTGGTCCCTCCAAGTCTTTTGGATGCACACAAATTTTTTTTTTTTAATTTGGACATGATAACATCTGTTTAAAATATTTACTGATCTGCATAAATATATTTAGAGCCCTTGTTTAAAGAATATATGTTAACTAAGCTGTACATATTTACATTATTGTTTACAGAAGATCCTTCTCTGTTTCATCAAAACCCTTAGACCTTTACGTACCGGTTCTCTTGTCATCTTGGATGGATGTCTGACCTCTCCTGCTGACCCCACTCTCCCCAATTCACATGTTTTCATGAATTGCCTAATTTATAATGTTGATATCTCATGTGGTCTGTAGACCTGGGACCTGTACCATGAAGCCGGATTAGCTGGCTAGCCAGGTAAGTTTCAGTTTAGTTTGCACCAATCCTGGGTTTTAGGTACCATGAAAGTGGCTTGGCTTTTAGCTGCGTTCATTGTCATAGTAACTTACGCTCCACAGCTAACCTGCTCCGTGGCAGGTTATGTTCTGAGTTAGAGAGCTCAAACTGAAATTGGACCAATCAGATGTGAGCAAAGTGACACATGTCTGACACAAAAAAGTCACTCCCCCAGTTTATCTTGCTCCAAATTAAAGGTCACTAGTACTAAAAAAATGTCTGGCTTTAATGATAATTACTTAGTTATTTTATATGATTTATATAATTATATGATTTATGTTATTATTAATCCATTACACACAAGCAATTTTAGTTTAAAAGTTATTATAAATCATTTATTTTAAATGAATGTTAATATATACAGATCGTATGTAATATAAATATGCTGTTAGAATCAATAGATAATGCTTTAAAAATGACTACGTGACCTTGCGGTGAACGTGATTTCACCAAGTACAACATGTTCCTGGATCAACATCCTTGTTGATCGTGGAACAACATTCCAGTCAACCAATCAGAATTGAGGGATACGTTTTCAAGAAATGTCAGTTTTAGGCTTACGATCAGGGTTAAATGCTTCTACACCCTTGTTATTCACCTATCATTTCCCTCTGATTTTAGGAATAAATTATGGGTAGGGTTAGGTTTAGGGGTAGGGACTGGGTTAGGTCTATATTTTTGGACAGTAATGCTGATCCAGGATCAACAAAAGATGTTGATCCAGGAACATGTCTTACTTGGCAAAATCACGGCAACCGTGACCTTACATGTTCGAGTCTCTATCGCTGTATATAACAAGTTTCTCTTGTGACTGCACTGATGAAGCAAGATCATTTATTTTATTTGTTATCTTTCATGAACAAGTATTTTTGTTTCATTGTAAATGCATTTAAATTTGCATTTAAATGCAATCTCTTAACCTTTAGCAAAACCTTTAACCTTTAACCAAGGCTCGTGATTGGCTGTTCGCCAGTGATGCCACACATTCACGTGCACGTGCTCCACAAACTCTGGATCAAAGCCTGAGTTGACAAAGAAAGTTGACGATCAGCTTCATGGTACCAACAAAGCCGGATTGGTGTGGTTTGGTTTTGTCAACTCGAAACTAATCCTGTAACTCTGAATGTGTTCATCTACCATCATGGTACAGGCCCCTGGATGCTAAACAGTCTTAGAGTTTTTTTTTTACAAAGATGCACATTTTGTATTTCATACCATTGTCCTCATGAACATATACTGTAACACTCAAAACTCTGCCCAGTCTGCTGATGGTTTACACTGTAAGTTGCCCCCCACTTGCTTGCAGGGGTCTGTGGCATTGAACATTTCATTACGACTGGCACATATCAAGAGCATCCATAACAATGGTAAATGGTTAGATCCCATATTTTTTGAAAATACAACTTTTCACAAATACTGCATTGATTGAACCATGGCCAAATGTTTAGAGCTACAGTATAATGAAGGTCTATTTACAGTAGTTCAGGATTTAGATTTTGCTGACACTTTATCCCCAAGTATGCATCACTCCTAAAAATATTTGTTAGGGAATTTTATGAGTAATATATAACAATGAGACCTATAATGAGATGATTGTTTTATCAGGGAAACAGACTGGCCCATATCATGATTAGTTACAAACTAATAAATACAAAGGCTGCCAGATTGACTAATAAAGGCAGCCAGATATACTAATAAATACAAAGGCTTTGTGTCTGCCAGATTGGCCTTTCTGAATTCTCAGTTCAAACATATGATCTGTTGATCGTCAGACTTGATATTTGAATAGCCAATTATCCTGTTGGTTCGTGTTTTAACACTATCCAGTAGTTTTATGTTGGGCCAGTATCTAAACTTTATTTGCATGCATGGGGGCTATATATCAAAATATTGCACTGATATGTCTCTACTAACTTTGCACATCTAGACTTTGCAATATTTGCCCACTCTCTGCAGAACTGCTCAAGTTCAGTTAAATTTTATGCTGACCGTTTGTGGACTACAGTCTTCAAGTCATTCCACAGATTTTCAATTGGGTTTCAGTCTGGGCTCTGACTAGGCCATGCAAGGACATTCACTTTTTTTCTCCTTCAACCACTGTGTGCTCAGTTTTGCTGTGTGCTTTGAGTCATTGTCATGTTGGAAGGTAAACCTTCTTCATGAGGCCTTTCTTGAGGAGTGGCTTTTTTTCTTGCACCCCTCCCATACAAGCCACATTTGTGGAGAATTTGTGATACTGTTGTCACATGCACACAATGACAGAGTTGCTGTAGGTCTCTTGGGAGCCTCTCTGACCGGGTTCCTCCTGCTCTTTCATCTAGTTTGGAGTGACGTCCTGATCCAGGTAGGGTCTCTGTTGTAACAAATACCTTCCACTTCTTAATAATAGACTTCACTGTGCTTCTAGGCATTGATAAATCTTTTGATTATTTTTTTGTATCCCATCTCCTCACTTGTGCCGGTCCACAACCTTATCCCGGAGATCTTTTGACAGTGCCTTGCCACCCATAGTTGATTGTTTGCTTCAGTTGCACTACCAAGGACTGAAATGCTCCAGGAAAACTCTTTTCATGCTGATCTAATAAAAACAATCACAGCTGACCACAGTTGAAAGTCAAATGGCTTTGTCTGTCTTTGAGAAGGTGATTAGCTACAACTGATTGAGTTTACAAGGCATTTTTAGGAGGGGGGTGATCCCAGTAAATACAGCTGGATAAAACATAAACTGTGTCCGTTTTCATTTCAGGCTGCAAAGCAACAAAATGTGATTATTTTAAAGGGGATGATTCTTTTCTATACCCACTGTAGATGAAACCATTAAAAGCCATGCTGGTTGGTTGAGGGAGAAATCCTGGCAAGTACCCAAGGTTTTTAGTTGTACGGGCCTGAATGGAGCATTATCATTTTATAGTAGCTCTTCCTCATTTTATTTTTTCAAAACTTTTTCACATAAAACATTTCTTTAGCGATCTCACCTTTCTTACTTTGTGTTTATATTACATTGCTTAATGAGAATCAGTAGTGAAATGAATGCAATGGTTCACCCAAAAATGAGGAGGGAAAAAAATAGTAAAATTTAAGAGAAAAACGTAAAATAAAATAAAAATATTATTATTATTTCATTGTTTGCTCACCCTCATGTAGTTCAAAACCCATATGACTTTCTTTTCTTCTTTACTCGAACAGAAAAAGAAGATATGACGAATGTTAGGGTCCAAACAAAATTGAACCACATTGGCTTTCACTGTATGGACAAAAAAAAAAGTCATACAGGTTTGAAACAACATGGGGGTCAGTAAATGATGCCAGAATGAATTTTTTTTGGGGTGAACTATTCCTTGAAATTGTTACTTCTACATTTTGCAATGTATCGATTATGTCTGGTCGATTATGTTTTCAACAGGAAGTCTTTACAGAAATGGAGGAGAAGTATGGAGAGGTCGAGGAGATGAATGTGTGTGATAACCTTGGTGATCATTTGGTCGGAAATGTTTATGTGAAGGTAGTGTAGAATTTGAGTGTGTTTATTAAAAGGGGTCATATGATGCGATTTCAAGTTTTCCTTTCTCAGCGCCATTGGTTTGGGATTACTCACCGCTGACTGGACGAGACATCTGTCAATCAACGTATACAGGAAGAACCAGCCGAAGCACAGCAGAGTCGTGGCAGAAAGTTCGGAGATGGTATTAAAGTAGCTCAGTGTAAATGTATTGTATGAATTGCCCTTACTATGGAATAAAAAATACGGTGTATATTTACATTTAGTTAAAAGTGGCTGAAAAACATCAGCTCCAGTGGTGCAGATGGATAAGTGCGTGTCGATGGCTTTTTGACGCGATGGACCCGGGTTCGATCCCGCCTTTTGCCTAACTTTTTTCCCCCTCCCTTTTCAAATCTCATATCACATCGTAAAGGCATTTATTTTCAATAAAAATTAAGGAAATAATCAAAAAGTTGAAAATAAAGTGTCGGGTAGGGTTAGGGAGGGCTTTATTGTACCAATAAGGTGGCATCCATTTAATAATTAAAATTAAAATTATAATTTACACTCAATACGTTATTATTGCATACTGTTTTATAATGTACTACAATACTGAAGTGCAGACAATTGCCACTATTTGCAACAAGTAGTATACATAGAAATCCTGCTATTTTAACATAGTGTAAATAGCATATTGCTAAAAATACTGCTATTTTCACTTAGTGTAAATAGAATCCATAGCTAATACGAGATTTGAAAAGGGAGGAAAAAAAAGTTCGGCAAAAGACGGGATCGAACCCGGGTCGATCGCATCAA